GCTCGGGAAGCACAGGCTGGCATACCTCCCCTCAGCTCGCCTGGGCTCAGCAGCAGAGCCAGTGCCACCATCCCATAGAAAGGGGTCACGCTCATAGCAGCACTTTGAGTGCATGCACAGGCACCCTCCTAAAAATACATCCCAGAGGAGTGCAGCTGAATGCAAACACTGCTCTTTCTGTAATAGATAGCTCTTTCCTCACTGGATTGGCTGGCACAAGCTGATCATGGTCAAATGATGCCTTGGTTTTTGAGTCTGTTTTTTAAAAGAAAGAAAGTACTGAAGAATGAACACAGACAGAGACTGAGCTTTTCAAATGAACATAGAGGAGCCTGGCATTCTGGTATTCCCCTCTGAAAATCACAGAAGCTGGGCCTGAAGTTTCCATTATTCTGATCACTTTCTCAGTTTATATCAGATCATGTTTTTAATGTTTCAAATAGGTTGCAAATAACTTAACCAGCATTTTTCATTTTTAAAGAGATTTAGTATCAAGCAATAATGTCCCTATTACATCCACTCAGCCATACACTTTTTCTATTCCAATTTTGTATTTGAAACCAGAGCAACAGTTCACATTTCAGAAATATATGAAATTTATATAAGTACTTAGGTACTAATTTTTAGAGAGATGTGGTGCAAATTCTGGTGCATAACTTTAATTTTTTATGCTTATCTAAAGTCAGACATGTCCAGCCAGTAATGAAGCCAGGTGTCTAAAGAAGAAGACCACCCAAAAACCCCTTTAGAATTCTAGCTGTTAGCAAAAGGTATTTCTTTAATCCTACCTGACACATTTTCAGTGGGTTCTCATCATTTTTCTGCTTAAATATAATCTTGGAGGATCATACTTTGAACAGCTATTCATTTATCAGCTAGGTTTGATATTTGCATGTATTTTTCTGCCTGGCCACCTTGCTCTAGGGAAGGTAGCAGCTGAGGACTGGGACCCGCGGCAGGAGCAAGGACAGCCGCCTCTGCAGGACGGTAAGGCTGTCACTCATCCATCCCTCCTCCTCAGGAGACCCTCCAGGCAGGAGGGTGCGGAGCAGAAGCCACTGGCTCCTGTTTCCATCAGCTTCTCCAGGGCCAGGTCTCTGGCTGACAGTGAGGGAGAGAAAAAGCAAGCGGTCACCTCCTGGTAGAGGCAGTGTTACTGCAGGATGAGCTAACAGCGGATACATTGCTCAACACCCATGGGAGGGAGGGACTTTTTAAATATCACCGTGATCACTGGACCCTCCCCTTCAACCTGAGACGACGCTTTGAATAAATCAGTCTCTGACTGACAGCACCAAAGATTTAGTTTTTATCCCTATTACTAGCCTGAAAACATGAAATAAAAAGCCCATGGTGTGAGCTGTTTGAAGAGGTATTTTGCATTTTAAAAAAGGGATGACGTGAAAAAGAATTTGTGGGGATACAGACAGCTTTGCTGGGGAAAGCATCTCTCTGTTACCTTGAGCCGGCTGCCTCTTTTGAGTTTCAGCCATGACAGTCAGCCAGCCAAAAAACTAAACGAGAAAACACATCCTCTAAACGTGGTGGGTCCCCTTGTGGTAGATAATTTCTGTGGAGCTAAGCTGGAATTTCTGTGGAGCTAAGCTGGAATTAAATCATCTGCCCAGCACACTGCTCTGTGCCTGGCAGCAGCAGCACAGGGCTGCCCACCCAAACATCCACGCAGCCCTTGGGCGCACGGAGCAGCCCACGCCGTGCCCGTCGCTATCTCTGGCACAGCTAAATCTGGCCAGCAGCCGTGGGCTCTGCCCGTCTGCCTCCGCCACGGCAGCAGCACACGCCACCACGGCATGACATGGCAGCCAACCCTCACAAGTGGAGCATGAGCCTCCTGCTGCTGCCAGCGTGGAGAGCTTTTTCTTAAAAACAAGGGCAAAATCGTGCTGATGAGAAAATTGTCCTAACAGGAACTGAGCGGGGCACCGTCAGACGTTCCTCTCCTTAATCGCAGACTGATGTTTCTCAGAGGCAGGCTGATATTCAAGCACCTTCTAAAACATGATACCTTCTAATATCAGGTTGTGGGGAAAATAAAGAAAAAAAAGGACAGTCTGATAAACAACTGTCCCCACTTCATCCTGCTCCCCGGCTCCGATAGAGCTGAGAGTGCTGCTATTTGAGATGGGCAGAAACTGCTGGCTTGTGTTCAGAATCTATAGTGCAGTGGGCCCCTTCCTGGGGCAGGGAAGGTGGTAAGACTGGAGTCAGGCTTGAATTTCAGACAGATCTGGAGTGCCACAGAAGTCAAGAACATTTAGAGGAATTTGGCCAGACCCTTTTCTCCTCTGTAATTGATGCCTCTAGCTGTGAGATCTCTTTTTGTTGTTGCTTGGCCAGAAATCACCTAGAAATGCCTATTCTTATGAGACTTGTGGCCAGATTGCCAGAGGCTACATTCATTTCGGCAGTGATAGACATATCAAAAGCCAGATATTAAACTCTTCCTGATTGTGCATTGGAAACTGCCCCAAAGTTAATTTCAAAGCAGATTTGCAGAGTGTAATATTCAACCCAAGCCTCTTGGAGCCAGCCTGACATTTAACCTGAAGCTATAGCTTGTCTGCCCTAAGAAAAAAAGAAGAAAAAAAAAAAAAAAAAAAAAAGGAGCAGTCAAAATCCTAGCAGATATGTATATAAATCAATAAGAAATAATAAACCAATAAACAAATGCAGTTATCAGTAGGGCAGAGCAGTAAAATGAAAAATTCGTCTGGATGCAGCCTCCACAATCTGGCGCTCCTGCAAAGGTGTCTTGTCCTTCTTAACAGCGAACACAGCCATAAATGGCCAAGCTGCCAAGACCTGAAAAGTCCAATGTTTATGCCCATGTACCTCAACCAACACCCCTTTCATCCTCTTCCTTTTTTATGCTGATAATGCACCAACTGTGAGATATAAAAGGTCTTTTGGGCTATCAAACCCACGGGCTCCACATTTTGATAACTGCTTCAATCTCTCTTATGTGTTATAAAAGCCCTTATCACCACGGCAGCAAAGAGCTGGGTAAAAGTGTTTTGCCTCAGCTTCATCTTAAACTCAAAACTTTTGCTGCTTTGAAGGAGAACTTTGTGCACAGTACAAAGCTTAGACTTCACCTCCTTGACACTGCCAATGTCTTCAGGAGGGTGTAAAAGACAAGCCTACTCTGGGCTGCTGCTTTATGGTGGAGTGAATGGAAGGGCAAGCTGCCAGGGGACACAGCCCCTGGCCTGTTCCTTGCACTTCATTCACTACCATGTGCCCGCGTGCTGAGCTGGCTCTGAGAGCTGGCTGAAAATGAACCCTTTCTTTTTTTTTTTTTTTTTTTTTTTTTTTTTTTTTAATTCCTCAGATTAGTTTTCAGCCAGCTCTGTCCTCTAATTCTTCTCTCTGTCCATAGTGGAAATCTATAAATAGGAAGAAAAGGTGGAACTGAAGGAAATTATGGGAAGGCACAGAGGTGGCAAGCCAGCGTTTTTCATCTGCAGGGCCCAGCTGACGGCTGGCGTAGTTATCCAAAATTACCCTTGCCTTTGAGTTGGAGAAACAGAGCCTGGGGGTTCATGATGGCTTTGAGGGGATGCACATGCAGGCTGCCACTGCACACGTTAGGGAGACCTAAGAGGCAGTGGCATTCACCAGCACTATTTTGTGAATGGAGCTCTCAGCCAGGAAGCTTTCCCTCTTGTCCTCCAGTTTCTTTATTCTTAGTTGCACTGTCATTTAACCCCCTGCAATCCCTCTCCTTGCCGGGTGGCTGCATTTGCAGCCCATGGGAGTCGTGAGTACCCGGCCTGGCAGCTGCTGTCATTCAGGTCTGAATATTGACACGAGTGGTTTGTAAAAGAGAGGGACCGATAGCTGGTCCAGGACCCTGCAGCACAGCCAGCACAGCAGGACTGCAGACCTGGAGCGAACTGGGAGGAATGGAAGCCAACAGCAATTTTCACTCTGACGAGCCCCCTGGAGATGGGTGATGAAGGTCAGGGCTGAGCTGGGCAAGGGGGGAAACTGTGCAGTGCAAGAGCCACGGGAGAAGGCTGTAGGGGTTTTTGCTGATTACTTTGGCTGGGAGAAACCCATGCTGGCACCTTGAGGTCCCTCTCGTGCTGCTGGAGAGGATGGCCTTGAGGACAGTCCCGGGTGACAGGGTACCCCAGAACAAGCCTTATCCCCGGCAGGGCTCATCGGAGCCTCGGGCGGCCCCATGCCCTCCACGCAGCCCCATCACACCTGTAGCCCGTCCCCAGAGGATGGGGTGCGATGGCTGGGTGCCATGGTCCCAGCAGCAGGACAGCCCCACCGCGACTCCCCCGGGCTGTCCCACGCGTGACCCCGTTCTCCACGCCACCCTCTGCGGTGTCACCGCCGGGCTGCTGCCGCCGGGACTGAACGCCGGCAAAAAGGCCGGGAGAGACCATTCCCCCTCCTTCCCCGCTCCCCCCAAACCTCAGCCCGAGGGTGACGTCATGGTGGGGGAGGGGCGGGCAGGGGGAGGGGACCCCCGCACGTCCCTGTCCCCCTGCACGCTGCGCAGCGCGGGGGCCGGGCCGGCCAGCCCCGACGGGGCGGCCCCGGGGGCGGGGGGGTTCTGCCGTGCTATCCCCACCCCCGGGGGGCGGCTCCTCCGTGTGCGTGTCTGTGTGTGCGTCTGTGTGTCTGTGTGTCTGTGTCTGTGTGTCCCCTCCCGCCCCCGCAGCGCTCCCGCCCCCGGGGGGACGGTCCCGGCTGCCGCCCCCATCGCCACCACACGGGGCAGGAGGAACGCGGGGAGCGGGGGGAGTTTCTCGGCGATTTATGGGGCGGGGGGACACGGGGAGAGCGAGTAAATCCAGCCTGTGATGCCTATAAATGGCGCTCCTCTTCCAAGGTGCACATTTATAAAAAAAAAAATAAGAAGGGGGGAAAAAAACCCGGTCGGTGTCATCCCCCCACGTCAGGGCCGGTGGTGGGCGTGAGGCTGTACTTCCTCCGCCCCCTCCTAATGGAGCGAACCATTCCCAGCCAGCCTTCCTCGCCCTCTCCCGCTGCCTCCCTCTTCCTCTCCTTCTCCTCTTGTCTCCCCCCCTTGTCTGCAAAGTCCTCCGCTGCTCGGAACTTGTTGGCAATGTCTATTTTTCAGCTTTCCCCCACGTTCTCCAAAGTAACTATTTAAAGATCTGCAGCCGCAAATGGTTTTACTAAATGTAGGATGGGACTTAAGTTGAACGGCAGTTATATTTCTCTGATCCTTGCTGTGCAGATAGGTAAGTGGACTGCCAAATTCCGTGTCAAGTTGTGCGCGCCCCAGCCCGGCTGATGCATGCAGGAGCGGAGCGCCGGGATAACCCGCGCGGGGGGCCGCGGTGCGGGCGGCGGGACCCCGCGCTCCGCTCCCCGCCTTCCCTTCGCGGCCGCAGCTCCGCGTTCCGGCACGCTCTCAAGGCAAGGGAGTCCGCAGGAAAGGGAGCCGGTTTACTGATTTCTGGTAAACCACTTTTGGTTTTCGTTTTTGCTAAAGTGGTGCATGCTCACTCATACTTCGCTTTTTATTTTCCCTCCGCCTCTTCTTCCTTCTTTTCCCTCCTTTTCTCTCGGTCCCCACGAGCGGTTGCGTTTGTATCTGGTTTTCGGATGTCCCCTTCATTCCCTTCCACTTACAGTTTGGTGACTCCAGTGCTAAGAAATTTTCCTCCCCTCCCCGAGGGACAGAGAAATAAGAACGGAGACAAAATGTCTTGCGAGAGATCTAGCTGGAAAGTTTTTTTTTGCAGAAAATCTGGGGGACAAGCAAAGGTCTCCCTTTGGGAACCAGAACGTTTTCCCATTCGTAGAGCATCTTAAAACCAAAGAAAACCCATCACTAAATTAAAGGAAATAATTAATGCAGCGATTAAACAAATAAAAATTACTTTAAAAAATCGCGGGGTCCCACCGCCCAGTCGTTAATTTTGTGCTTGGAGAAGACCTGTCAAAAATCGAGCAGGTCCAAAAAAATTCTATATATGCTGTTACTTAAAATAGAACAGGTTTCTTTCCATGCCGGTGTGTATTTTGTGTGCTTGTTGCCGGTTTTGTTCAATATCTTGGGGGTTTTGCCGGTTGCTTTTGTTGGTTTGCTCTCGGATTCATTTTATACGTTTCTTTCCTGAGATTTTTTTTTTTGTTACGGACATTAAACAATCTCCAAGTTAATGACCACTTTGGTCCTGTATAGGCAAATTTTAAAGATTATCTGCTGGATATGTAGATTCCCGAGCATGATCCAAAACTGGGTTTTAATGAAAAAGGAATTAAAGCACGTCTTTTATTATCTAGACTGTCAGGTGTGAAGAGCCCTTTGAAAATATTTCCCTGCAAAGGAATTCTGATACAATAAAAAAAAAAAAAAATTAGCTCGGCATTGCTATTTAGAGGTCCTTTTGCTCGGTCACACTCCTCTCCAGAAAACCTCTGCAGAATTTTATGGGTAACAAAGAAAGAAGAAGGAAAAAAAATGAGGGGAGAATTAGAAAGGGAGGCAAAAAAAGAAAACCTTGAACATTTCTTGATCTAATAAAAGGGGGGGTGGGGGGGTGAAGAAATAGTGCAACGAAATGTTGACCTCTGGGAAATGTGGTTAAATGATGCAAACCCCTACATTCGTATTACCATTCCATTTTAAATAAGGCTGAACTCTTCACAAGGCCAGTTTTTTGTACTGTCACAGAAAGAAGGGGGGAGGCTTTATTTGGATGTTATCCTTAATTTCAATCCTTGCAATTTTTGTTTGTGTGTTCGTTCATTCATTTGGAGGAGGAGGAGGAAGATTTTCTTTCTGTTGTGTTTATTTGGTTCAGCCGAGGATGGATTTTATTTCAAATTTCAAAAGGCAGCTAGAGTCGCTGGGAAATGCCTTTCCCGGGCTGGCATGAGCATGAGCAGTCATTTGGAAAGTTACCCCCAGACACTGCTGCACACCGAGGGGATGGTGGCGGTGCGGTGGCTTTGCGGTGCCCTGAAAGGGGACAGCTCTGAAGCTCGTGGAGGGCTTTTCTGCTCTCTGCTCCTCCTTCGGTATTTAGGGTAACCTTCCCCCCACCTCCTCCACACCTCCCCACCCCCGGAATCAGATTCTGGTTGTCGGTGTGGGGTTTGCGAAGGGCCACCTGCTTTGCCCCGTCCCCGGTAAAGGCTCGTGTGAAATGGATGCTCGGCTCGTTCCCAAAATGTCTATGCAACGGGACTTAAAAAAAAAAAAAAAAAAGAGGGGGGGGGGGGGGCAGGGGGGAGTATTTATTTATTTATTTATTTAGGATTTAGGCATAGGAGATTGGAGCTGTCCGAAATCCCTGACATTTTGGGAGGTGACCGAGCTGGGAGTTGGGGTGGGCTCAGTCTCCGCGGAAGGGACAGGAGGAATAGACCAGCCGCAGGACCGGGAGAACGGGGAATGGGTTTCGGGAGGGGGCCCGGTCCGTCACGGAGGGCTCCTGCGGTCCTGCTGCATTGCACATTGCTGCACACTGCTGTCTTTGAGTGGCGGTGCGGGTGTGGAAGGTCGTGGAAACGGCAAGGCACAAGCGACCTAGTTCATGAGAAATCCCGTTGTCTTTGAATCAGACAGGAACAGTGTCTATCCGCTTTTGCTTTTTTCCTTTTTTCCCCCCCCCTTCCTTTTATATATATATATATATATATATATATATATATATATATGTTTAATTTATTGGCGGGGTTTGGGGCAGCTTAGAGTCGGGGATACCCCGTGCGGAGGCAGCGGCACGGGCAGACAGGGCCGGGCTGCCCTTCGGGGGCGAGGGATGCTCGGCTCACCACTGGTCCCAAACGTGACCCCCGCCAACCCCTCCCGCCTCCCCTGGCCCCAGCCTGGGGCAGGGCTCCTCTTCGAACCCCGGATTTTCAGCACAGCCCCACACTTTTTTGCAGAAATTCCTGGCAACTCCCCCTCCACTGTAGCTGCCGGAGCGAGATGGCGCGGGTTTTATAGGACATGGTTTTACCCTCGGGATGGTCTTCGATTCGTCTCTATTTGTTTGCCTGGCTTTTTTTTTTTTTTTTTTTTTTTTTTTTTTTTTTTTTTTTTCTATCGTAGCCAATGTCTGGAGCCTGCCGGGGGTTTGATGTGGCGGCTGGTGCTGGTGTGTGTGTGTGTGTGTAGAGGGGAGTGGCCACCAAGTCATGTTAGCGATGAAACAAACGGCAAGAGGAGGATTTGGGTTGAAACTGTCTCTTCTGGAGTCAGCCATTTAGCTTGTAACCGGTACCCGGCAAGGAAACACACACACACACACCCCGTCACAGCTATTCCCTAGGGACACGATGCGGGAGGCGTCCCCACCCGACGCCCGACGGTGTGGGCGGCAAGGGGCTCCTCCTCAAGGGACGGGGGAAGCCCCTTCCCGCCCCCGCTGGCCGCAGCGACATCCCCCGGGCCTGGGGACACCGCGGCGTCCCCGGCTCCCGCCGCGGGCAGGAGAGCGGCTGGCAGCCAGCCCCTCGCCGTGCCCGGGTACCCCCGCCCGCCGTGCGGCTGCGGCGTGTGCGGGATGCCGAGCGGCGGCACAGGCCTTGCTCGGGTCCCACGTCCCGTCCCGTCCCGTGTCCTCTCGGGCACGCAGGAGGAGCCCGTAACTCATTTTCTTCCCGCCTTTGCAGGCGGTTGTTCTTGTGTTGGTTCCTGTTGCGCTGAACCGGATGCCCTTGGCTGGAGCCATCCCGAGAGATGCCTGGGCAGCGGGTTTGGGGGTGCGGGGCCGGTCCCGCCCTGCCGCCCCCAGCACAGGCACTGCCGGGTGGGCACCCCCGCAGCTGTCTGCGTGATTTCGCTGTCCCTTCTTTGAGTGTCTCTACCGCAGATCTTTCTAGCGATTTTATTATTATTATTATTATTATTATTATTATTATTATTATTATTATTATTATTATTATTGTTATTATTAATTTAATTTAATTTTTTCCCCGCTGCACCTTGCGCGGTGTTTGCCCAGCGACCTGGGCAATAGGGAGCGTGTGCGTGTGCGTGCGCCTGCGTTTGTACGGAGAAACGCTCCTGCTGCTTCCAGGAGGAATTTTCTAACAAAGGATCAAGTCCGGGGGGAAGCAGGCAGCGCATCTCCACCTCCCCTCCTCCTCTCCCCTTAAAGAAAAAAAAAAAAGGGAGGGAAAAAAAGGGAAAAAATTTAATGAAAGCAACGCCGCTAATCCACAGACACCGAACCCTCCGGTACTAAAAACGAAAAGGGCGAAAAGCCCCTGGCTCACCTCCTCGAGTGCGATGGCGAGCCTGGCTCCGTCCCACCGCCCCTCTCCTGCCCCGGGTCGCGCTTTTAGCAAGGGCTGGGGGCGGGCGGGGGGAGGAGAAGGGAAGGGGCGAGTCGGGGGCGGCGGGCCGGGGGCGGGGGCCGGCGGTGCTGACCTGTGCCCCTGCCCCCGCAGCGTACCTGGTGCAGGCGGTGAGAGCGGCGGGGCGGTGCGATGCGGTCTTTAGGGGCTTCTCGGATTGTTTGCTGCGGCTGGGCGATAACATGGCCAACTACCCGCAGGACCTGGACGACAAGAGAAATCTCCAAACGATCTGCGCGTAGGTCTTTCCTCTCTTCTTCGGGGCCGCGGGGGGACAGTGGGGGTCACCCGGGGCTGGGCAAGGGGGGCGAGGCTGAATGGTGGCGGGAAGGAGGGAAGGAACACAAGTAAAGCGGGGTTACGCTCTGGGGCTGGATTCTCCGCTCCAGGGTCCCTCCAAGCTCACTGCCACAGGGACAGACCGGGCTTGGGGAACAGCGAAGTCTGGAGGGAATTTTTTACAACGTCTTTTTTTTTTTTTTTCCTTTCTTTCTTTCTTTTTTTGCCTCTGTGAATCTGAGGTTTGTTTGTTTTGGTTTGGGTTTTCTTTCTTTCTTTCTTTCTTTCGTTCTTTCTTTCTTTCTTTCTTTCGTTCTTTCTTTCTTTCTTTCTTTCGTTCTTTCTTTCTTTCTTTCTTTCGTTCTTTCTTTCTTTCTTTCTTTCGCTTTCTTCCCTGGTTTGTTTTCTCAGCCCTTGTTCTTTTTGGTTTTGTTTGGTTTTGTTTTTGTTTTTTCTTTTCCCTAATTAGCTTCTCTTACGTATTCTTTCCCTTGCCCCGATCTGCACTGGGGTGCTGACATTAGCTGCCCGGGGATCGTTATCCCTTTCCTTATTGCTGCCTGTGGGACACGCTCACCCGGCTGGCTCCGGGCTCCCCCCGAGGCCGGTGCGAGGCTGCCCACCCCGGCCGGGCACAGCCGGCGCTGGGGAGGGGGCCCCTCGGAAAACAAAACGTAATTAAATAGGGAAGAGCCCTGTCATGATATGAATCGCCCAGCGGCAGAGAGGCGGCCGTCCCAGCGCCAGCTCTCTCCTGCCACCTCCATGGCCCCAGGAAAACCCATTTGCCACCAGTTTCGACTTGCCCCTGGCACAGAAGGGACAAGAAGGAAAGGGCAACGATAAAGGATGATGATGATAATAATAATAATAATAATAATAATAATAATAATAATAATAATAATAGCAATAACAACAGCAACAAAAATATTAAGAGGAGAAAAAGAGCTCGCCTTGCAAAATCATGTCCCGCACAGGGAAGAAAAGTCGAGCATTTTCGATATGTCTGGGAGGAAAAAGAAAAAAAACTGCCACAAAACAACAAAACAAAAAACCCCAAACCCAAACCACACACATTTAAAAAAAAAAAAAAAATTTTTCAGTGTAAAACCCACCCGTTTAAAAAACCCAACAAAAAAAAAAAAAAAAAGAAGAAAAAAATAAATATTTAGAAACGAGATAGTATCTTTAGACATAAATAAGTTTAGAATAGTTTTGGGTTTTTATTTTGCTCCGCAAAAATCAGGAAACAAAAGACATGAAATGGGAAGGTGAGAAGAAAAGGAAAGGAAAGGAAAGGAAAGGAAAGGAAAGGAAAGGAAAGGAAAGGAAAGGAAAAAGAGGAAGTGTGAAGAGACTCTGTAACACTCCTCTGTCCTAGAGATTTCTGAGTCAAACCCCTAAAAAGGCTGGCACTTCTCTGTAAATGCTGGGCTGAGGTTTACTTTGTGTCCTGGAACAGAAATAAATACCCAGGGGCAGCAGGGTCCTGATATGGTATCTTATGCTCTCGAGTGCCAGATCAAATGTGATCCTGATCTCTAAAGATAATTATTTTCCAAGAAAGACCCTTTTCCTGACCACCTTCCACCATCCGATTGCCTTCGCCCTGTGCCGGGATGTGTATTGAAAAAAGATGGTGAAAGATTTAATTTTCCTTTGGGAGATGCAATTACAGCAGAAATACTGCAGGAGAGGCACACTCTCAGACTGTGGCTTCTCAGTATCTCATTATTTATTACAAATGTAGCAAACATTGGGAGTCTACAACCAGCTTAGAGTGCTCATAAATTAGAGGCAGTAAGACTACTTTGGAAAAAAAAATTAAAACAAAGAAAAAAAATCAAGACCCAGTTTCGCAGACGTCTGCCTTGAGGCGTGGGGGAAGTAGAAGGCGGAGGGCAGATTCGGGGTGATTTTCGATAACTCAGACATGGAGAGGAAAAATAGCCCACTACCCTCCCCATGCGGTCCGTGGAACGAAGGGTGTCTGCCCCGGCGACAAACGCGGGTCCAGTCCCCGTGAAGAAAGGAATTGAAAAAAAAAAAAAAAGAAAAGAAAAAAAGAAAAAAAAAAAAAAAGAAGGCAAATTTGTGCGAATAGCTGGAGATTATCCTGGTAAAGCGAATCTCTTCCCTGCCTATAGACCCCTGGCCATGGATCAGGGGTCGCTCCCCCTGCAGTGCTGCGGGTCGGTGCGAGGCTCCCAGAAGTGGAAAATGCTCCTTCTTCCTTCTCCTACCCTTCCTGCTTCTCCTACTCTTCCTCCTTGAGCTTTTCCTGCAGTAAGGGCCTTTTTCTGCCCCGGGGAATACCTCCCGGGGGCTTCTACACCGCACTCCAAAGGGTGCCTTTCCCACCCCCATCTTTCCCACCGGTGACGAGAAACCCTCGGGACGAGCCCGCGGGTTCCTGGGCTGGCTCCTGGAAGCCGAGGGGTGCGTGTCCCCTCCCCCCGTCAGGCAAAGACCCCTCCGCCAGAAACCCAGCAGAGCAATTTTTGCAGCACCCTGACAGGGCTGGCGCCGAAGGCGGGGTTGGGGATGGGGGGGACCCCCGAACCCTCAGGCAGCGGCTCCTCCCCGCCGGCCCAGCCTCCCTTTTCGGCACGCCCGGCTGGCTCCGCCGGCGGAGGAGGGGGCGGCGGGCCCGAGGGGCGGCTCCTCCCCGGGAAGGTGGGTGCGAGCCTCTTTTGACGCCGGCTGCTCTCCCTTGCTGCAGGTACTGGGATGATTTCCACGCCTGCACCCTCACAGCGCTCACCGATTGCCAGGAAGGAGCGACAGACCTCTGGGAGAAATTGAGACGGGAATCCAAAAACCTCGATTTCCAAGGCAGCTTATTTGAACTGTGCGGAGGCGGCAGCGGCGCGGCACCGTCCCTCCTCCCGCCGGCCTTGCCCCTGCTCCTGGCGGCTCTGTGGGCCGCCCTAGTGACCTGGCTGCCTTTCTAGGGGGGCGAGCACACTCACACCCACACCCTCTCCATGTGCTGGATCTATAGAGGAAGTGTCCATCCGTTGCTTTGGGGACGTTGTGCTTTTCTGTGGTTGATGATGATGATGATGGTGGTGGTGGTGGCTGATGATGGTGAAACACCCATGTAGGACTGTGGAAGCGTTCTCCCTTTTTTTTTTTCTTTTTTTTTTTTTTTTTTTTTTTTTTTTTTTTTTTCTTTTTTGTGTTTTATTTGCCAAATCTTACCAAACAGGCAGCGGCGCGCAGCCCAAATCGGACCTCAGCTTTACTATCGCTTCGAATCAAAAATAGAGAAAAATATAAAGAAACTAACTCGAGCCCTCGTTGTGCAAACGCAATCTCAGGAACGGCTCTGGGCCACCTACTGCTAAGGCTGTAACCGGCCGGGTACCTCCCGGCGAGCCACGGGCTCCGCTAAAAATGTGGCAGTGTGCGAGGCGAGAACAAAAACCGCAGACAGGAAAAGGCACTGGCGAGAAATCCAAGGTAGATGTCCACGTGTGAAGCATATGGTGAATAATTCACAATCTCTCATCTTTCCTCCACAGTCGCTTGTGTTTTTTTGGTCATTCCACTGGAAAAAAAAATTAAAAATAAATAAAAAAGAACATTTTTCCTCAAGGGGAAAAGAGAGCGAGAGAGGGAGAGAAAGAGAGGGAAACGAACAGCTAAGGAAGGAAGGAGCAAGAGAAAGAAAGACGTATCTAAATGCCCGGAGGAATGACGGAATGCTGCTAACATCTCTGAGAGTTTACCTTTACTTGCTGTTCGAAGGCATCTTTCCGAATTCACTGCCTTTAATTTTTTCCTCCTCTTTGTTTTAGATGTTACACATAACAGTAAAATACCTGAATATCCAACCGTAGAGATCACAAAAAGGGGGCTTAAATGTAAACCTAAAGGAAAAAAAAAAAATAACAACAAAATGATTTTGAAAAAAAAAAAAAGAGCCTTGATTTTAAAAGAGAAGAAAAATGTAATTTAAACAAGAGTTTATTATAAAGTCAATTCAGCAAAAAAATAACAAAAAAAGATTTGCTACAAAGTATAGACAGAAGTATAAAATAAAAATTATTGTTTGAAATGAGGGTGTCGTCCTTTTTATAAAATATGCCGAGAGTATCTTGGAAAGGACAGGACTTTTAAGGCAAGGAAGTCTAAATCTTGAACCCATCCCTTGACGAACACGGCAATTTCAGTTCAAACAAGGACAGGGTGCCTCAATGGCTTAGTCGAAGCCTTTCTCTCTCTCTCTTTTTTTTTTTTTTTTTTTTTTTTTTCCCCTCTTCTTACTTTCCCCTTTCTTTTGCTCCTTAAAAATAATGCTGTAAATCCTCCCACCCTCCTCCTCCTCCTCCCGCCGAAGCCGCGCACCGCAGCAGCCCCGTTTTCCCGGGAGCGGCGCAGGGAGCCCCGGGAGCGGGGGCGGGCGGCGGGGCTCTCCCGCGGGCGCGGAGCGCTGCCGAGCCCCGGCCGAGGGAAGGCAGCAACCACCATTAAGGAGGAGGCTGCGGAGCCGGAGCCGGGGCGCAGAGGAGCCCTTTCATAATTAATAAGGCAGCTCAGCCGAAGGAGCAAGGGGAAGGGGGGACGGGGTATTGATTTCGCAGCAGAAGCTGCTCTAACCTCGGCTATTTATAGACGCCCGATGCCTTTATAAAGAAATACACATCAAATAGTGAACACGTCCTTTTTACTTATAAGAGGAGAGCCCAGCTGGCGATCGGGGGTGGGTGGGTGGGTGAGTGGGCGATGGGGAGGTAGGGACCACGAATTGGTGCGAGGTGATTTATTCAGCTGGGGAGCCGTTGCCTGTGCGATAGCTCTCCTTTGCCAATGTGTAGGGTGGCAGAGTCTCTCCTTCGCCCCCTCTCCCTGCTCCCTCCTTTCCCAAGGTCCGCAATGTAATGTGTAAGCAATAGCAAATGTAACAGTTCATAAATCAAACAGTGGGTCGCAAGCCAATCTGCATTTCCCAAACGGATTGAATCTCAGCAACGAATGTGCTCAGGAACTGGAGCCAGGCGCCTTTACCACTGGAAGCAATGTTGATTTTTTAATGATAAAATACATTATGCGTGTGTTGGGGGGGCTTTGCAGAGCTCAGCCTCGCTTCGGCAGACACAGGTCTGCTTGAATTTCGTTTTGCTTTGGCCTCCCTCTAGATTCAATCCCCACCAACACCAAAGAAAAAGGAAAACCCTGGAGAGCAGAGCTTTGTTTAAATGGTTTGGGTTATTTTCCCTCCCCACAGAGGATCTAGACCTAAATTGATTTTTTCTGTGCACATCTCTGTATTCATGAGGTCAGGCGCTGCTGTTATGGTTTCCTGTAGCACGAAATGCCAGATGCCGAGGAGAGAGGGGAGAGGAAGCCCTTGCTGGGGTACCAGGGGCTCCTCAGCTTGCTGCGTGTGCCGGCTGAGCCCAGGGGTTCCCCTCCAGCCGCCGGCAAAGCGCCCCGCTCCGCCCAGGGGCGCCCGGGCGCCGGTCCCGCCCGCTGCCGGCATCCCCCTGCTCGGCTCCGGGCGTGCTCCCGCCGCCGCCCCCGCCTTCCCGGCTGCTGGACGGTGCCCGTCCGTCGGAGCTCGATGGAAGGGAGCCTGCCAGCTTTCCCTCACCCCACAGAAGAAAGCTGAAACGCCCTAATAAGGGGGCGATTTCCAGCTCATTAGCGGACTCGAGTTATTTTCGTGTGAAGTTCAATTACTAATGAATAATCTCCCTGTAATTAGCACATCCCCCAATTAACCCTCCGTTGAGGAGAATAACTAACGGTGGCAAACCAGTGAAAAACAGTGGAGCTGGTGGGGAGGGTGCCCGGTGGTCGTTCCTGGCCCCCTTTCCTCCCTTCTGTGTCCTCCTGAACTCTGCTGTTTTGGGCTAATAATTGTCGGGAGCTCACCCCAGGAGCACAGGCCGGCCACCGGGCCTGCCGAGCTAGCCGGGATGCACTAGCCTGCATTGCAGCCCGGGATTTCCCGCACAGGCGGCAGGACGGCAGCAAACTCCGGTCTCGCCTGCTCAGCTCCCCCTGGACAAACTGACAAGCGAGGCTATTCCCGCCTGCAGCTCCGTGGTTTTTTTCGGGGAGCACGAGCAACCAACAAACTCGCCCTTCCCTCCCGCCCGTTCATTTTATAAGAGCCCCCCAATGCGCAAGGCATTGCTTGCTCCCTTTTCTGCTCCTTTCAAGGGCCGCTTCTGAAGCCTGAGTGCCATGGTCGATTTTATGTATTTAATTTTCTCGACCGCAGGGATGGATGGTTGCTCTGCCTTGCCATGTTGTGTGGGCAAGGAAACATGAGCCCTCCGCCAAGTCCCAGAAAAGGACTGAGTGTACTGGACTTGCCTCCTGCCGCCTTGCACCTGTAGGGTTTGTAAAGGCTGCGGGAAAGGCTGGGCTGTCTCTTGCCAGGCTGGTCCCGCTGCCCCAGGCAGCGGCTGCTGTAGCAGGAGCTGGAAGAGGTTCAAGCCTCTAACATCCCTTCTTAACTCCCGGAAAAACGTGAGCTGGTGAACTGGAGAGGGGAAAAACGCAACAGAAGAGCGTTTAAACCCTGACAGTGACCACAGTAAAATTATCTCTTCTGCATAAAAGAAAATGGGCACACACACACGCATAAAGGGGAAAAAAACCCAACAAAACAAAACATAAATGCAGATCAACAGGAAAAACCCGCAGCTGAAACAAAAGACAAGCCAGTGCATTTCTAGCTGGCTGGATAATGAGGAAGAGTTGCAGCCATTGCGGCTCTGCCTGCCCTAATTCCTATTCCCAGCTCCGACTGAGCAACCGCAGCCCCGCAGTCCCCGGAGGGCTGCAGAGCGCTGGCTCCTTCCTCCCCGGCAGCGCTGGATGCACCCGTGCTTGGCCTGCGGCTGCTCTCCTGCTGTCTCCCTCCCTCCCTTCCTCCCCCTTTTAGCAGCCTGGCTGAGCCCTGCAGGGAGAGCTGCACCTTGGCCCGGCTCGGGCTGCCCTCCGACACGGCGAGACCCTGCCAGCACTGGGCTGAGGTGGTGGCAGTCGATTATTTTTGCTTTAAGGGAGAAAAAAAAAAATAGAAGGAGACCTTTTCCCATCTGTTCAAAGGCTGTAACAGGGAGATGGAGTGGGCCTGTGCTGGGAGCAAAAGCTTGAGCCAGGACACACAAAACAGGAAATATCTGAGTGGTAGTGAGAGCAAACTGGTTGGTGCTTATGGAAGGAGCAGGGAGGCATGGTATGAAATAAGGTGCAGTATCCATTTCTGACAGGACTTTTTGGTGCCTATATCTACATCTCAGAGGAAGCAGCCAGTTCCTGTTGGTCTTTGGCTCATTTGCACAGTCTAGGGATGAATGGATCAGTGGCTGTTCCAGCCCTCTTCCTCTCCAGAGTCCTTTTAAAATCTGTGCAGTTGCTGTCCTGCCCAGTGAAACCCACTAAGTTCTGTGAAGGGCTGACAACCTAAGGAGAGAGAGAACAGTTCAGCCTTCCTATTCACCAAGCAGATTCATTAATGATTAGTGCCATTAGGTGGACTACAATAGTGCCCGAGGGCCTCAATTAAAGGAAAAGTGAGCTTGTTAAATCCAGAAAGCCAGATTCTCCCTCTGATACTCCTGCCTGATGCAGAGGTGGTGCCTCCAGGGTGGGCAGCAGGAATAGCCCTGGCTTTCTATGTGAACAGCCTTCCCTGCTCCCTCCTCCACCTCTTCCCTCTCCCCTGACTTGGCTGCAGATCCTGCTTACAGGGTGCTGCAGAGCAAGGCTGCTGCAGGAGTTGGCTGGCAGGACTTGCAGGAGGAGGTGTCAAATCAGCTTATTCTTCCGAGCCACTTCATTCTTCATCACGAGTGGGTTTGGGTGGGCTTTTTTTGGTTTAGGTTTTGGGTTTTTTTGGGCAGGGTTGAGAGCAGGCAAAGTGGTGGGGATTGCAGAGGAGTCTGTTATGAAATCAGATGCGATTTTAGATGTCTGAAAGAGTTTCTTTAGGCTAAAGGCAGCTGAAGATCAATTGCACTGTTGGCAAATGTGCTTCCAGCTGGTTGGAGCCTCTCTTGAGGGAAAGTTTCAGCCCAGGGCCCACTGCAATGGTAGTACAGGAAAGGGCTTTCATTTGCTTTGGGCTAAGGACCTTCTGCTGCCCAGTTCTACCAGTGAGAAGAGAAACTGGAGATGATGTGGGAGAGTGACAACAGCATTATTACTGGTGAGTTACTGGCTGTTCCTTTCCCCTCAAATCCCCATGGTGGGTCTGCATTTGAAGATTTTGCTCAAAGCCCCATGCTCCTGAGCTATGGGTTTGCTAACAAATGGGCAGACTGTGCTGCCACAGACTTTGCCTTTCAGGAGATACCGAAAAAATAGGTTTAAATGGGTCAAATTCTCAGAAACCCAGCCTGTGGCTTGTGCCTTAGCTTTTTAGGCTGTATTGTTTGTTTTATTTTGTTTCTTTGTTTGCTTATCTCCAAAGCTGATATGAAGAAAAGATGGAAACAGCCTCCTGAAGGTCAAGGTGAGACTGACCAACACCTGATTGCTGGTATTCACCAGCAATAATAAATCCCTGATCACAGGTGCTGGAAGTCTCTTCAGAGAAACAACATTGCTGCAGGGGACAAACAGATAGACCTTCTTTACACAGCCATTCTCTGGGAAAAATGATCCCCTGAAGTCAATGTGGATTCTGCCTAGGTAAGGATTTTGAACGCTCAGTTTTACCTCAGATGGGAATATTATCCCAATATGAACTCCAGGTTCATGCCACCAAAATACAAAGAGCTTTGTGTGTGCATTGTGCTTTGCACCTCCAGATTTCTTGTCCATGATATCAATTTATTAAATACTGTGAAAAACTTACTAGATCTCTCAATCAGAGATCAAATCTGCAGGGCACCTTTTTTTTTTTTTTTTTTTGCTAGGAAGCAGCCTCAAGAGTGGATGGACAGTGCATCCTTTAATACCACCAATTTCTTTAACACTTTGGAAACTACTGAATATTCAAACTGATGCTCCCCAAGGCAGCAAACAAAAACCTCAGAACCTTAGTCAATCAAAGTAAAAACCAAGTAACCAACTAAAAACCCATTAGTAGCCATA